AAAGGTGCTGAGCAGTCAAAGAGCATGACAAATATCCAGTAGAGGTGTCTTCCCACTTTGAGATGATATAATTTCTATTTTAATGGTGCTTCTTTTATTTAAAATAATTGGTGGGAAATCTTATTTAAATTAATGAAAATCTGAGTTATACCATGAGAACTTTGGGAGACAAAAATGGAGAAAGGAACAATGTGATGAAACAAGAGCTATTCATTTTTTCACTTATTCAACAAATAGCTCTATACTAAGAAATATCTATGGGTGTTGGGCAGAGTGCTAAGCACAGGAGATACGACAGTAAACAAGATGGGTAAGACCCTGGCTCTTGAGCTCTTTAAGCTACATGGACAGACAAGCAAGTACAATATAATGTGACAAGTAAAGTAATTGGATATGAACAGGAACACAGAGGAGGCATAACTATTAGAATAAACCCGCCTTCCTCTTTTCTTAACAAATGGAGCTTTCTCCATATCACAGGAAAGCAAGGGGCCTTTTATGGTCTGTTGGAAAATGCACTCTTCTCCTCCAATTGCGGTGAGCATTACAGGGTAATAAATTGATCCTGGCAGAAGCTGGCTACATCAGCCCAGTCACCTTTGATCAGTGTTCCTCAAGAACCACCAAGGGACTCACACAGCAAATAAAAAGATACGGCTATGAGGTGCGTACTTTTCCGATGCAGATGGTGCTTGGAACAAGCAGTGTCCCTCTCTTCTTGTGAAATATCCTGTCTCTCTTTCTCTTCTAAGTGATCTGGGCAACACATACTTTTCTTCTGGACCTGATATTTTCTTCCTTTTCCATAGATGATGAGGAGTTGGGATGAGATAGTGCATGGAGTCATGAGCTGACTGGAGAGCAGAGATGTGTGTGCGTGTGTGTGTGTGTGTGTGTGTGTGTGTGTGAGAGAGAGAGAGAGAGTGTTTGGGGGACAGATGGGGCGAGTCTTTTCTGAGATGATCCTCTTTCACTGAGAGAAACCAAGAAAAGAATAAACAGATGGTATCCTTCCAGTAGCTAGCAGAAAGTAGCATGGATTGGAAGGAAGGTGAAAACATCTCTTCCGGCAGAGAGGGAAATGGTTATACAATTATTGAGGCGTTTATTAATAACCTAGATTTAATTATTCTAAAATTTTGTTTGATACAGAAAAGTGACTTTGGGCAAGGAGGGTTTCTAAGTGGGGATAAATTTCTACCTTTAGGATCCCCACTCCTACCCTCTGCCTGGATAGGCAGAAAATGCCTGGGGTTTTCCCCAGAGTGTCCTGAACTTTTGAGCCACAGGTGCTGAACCTGCTCCCCATGGAGGATTAAGGAGCTGTGGAAGAGGTGCATGCTTCTGGTTCGTAGATGCTGAAAAGAAATTCTCCCCATGGAGAGAAACAACACTGGGAGAAGGAAGCTAATTAATGGACAATGTATTTGCTGTGGTAGTGAGTCGTGGGCTGTATGTGTAAGAAACTAAGTCACGCGTTGCGAGCATATGGGGTGGGTCCCTCAGACTTCTTTCACTGCGTGAAATTCCACCACTGGAGATTTAGCCTCTAGACCTTTGAGCTCCGCAGTCTAGGAGACATTGTGGAGAGAGTGAGAGTATTCAAGTACTAGTTTTAAGAAGCAGGGCATCTCAGTTTTTGCCTCAGTTCCACCACTAACCATGGTTAGACAAAATTCCTTAACATTCATTTATAAAATGGGATCGTGATGCCTACCTGATCAACTTTGATGTAGAAATTTTATGGGAACATAATAATATGACATGTACCCTTTGGGGATTAGCGTAAACTCTTGAATAATTTAGATCAGTGGAAGGACACCTGATAGATTTAGGGTAATAGGAAAGGATAGTTAATAAACTTCAACTTCAATCCCAAACTCCAATCCTAAACTACCTCTTGGCAAATTGTCTGTAGATCTTGCTCCTCACCCCCATTTCACCATTAAGGTGCTTCTTTTCTTGGCTTATTAAACATTAACCTAAAGGCTACCTCAATTAAAAGGTGAAGCTATACACATATGAAAATACTTGTAGAAATGGTTGCGGCATTGGGCTGGGTTGAGAAGAGCAGGGATGCAGGGAAATGGAAAGTTAAAAGATAGGAGAAGAAAAAAAGAGAGAGAAAGAGAGAGAAAATTCTTTGTCCACATCAATTTATAGATTTTTACTGTATAAATGTTGGTTTGGTGTGGCTGGAACACAGGGGAGAGAAAAGACTGGGCAGCTGGGCATAGGAGGTGTCATGAAGATCTTTGATTACAATGCTAAAGAATTTATATTTTATTTGGAGTACTATTGAAGACTTGACTGTAGGAGAATGAAATGATCCTGTTGATGCTGTAGGAAGGTCAGTCCAGCTGCAGTGTGTCTAACGGACTTCAGGAGCAGAACGAGCAGGATCAGGGAGCCATTGGGGAAGCTGTGGCCGCAGTTCAGGCCAGAAATGATGGCCTGACTAAAGCATTTCCAGAAGGGACGGAGAGGAAGGAACAGATTTGCAACATGCTGGGAAAGTAGTCTGACTGAACTGGTAACTGGCTGTGAGAACTAACAGAAAGAGAGGAGTCAAAGAAGATACCTCAGTTTTAAAAGAAATTGTGATTCTATTCCTCAAGGTATTAATTATGTGAGGAGCAGCCAATTTGGTAGAATTGGCAGAAGTTGGGATTAGGTTGTAGGGAGAGATGATTTCATGTTTAAACATGTTGAATTTGGTTAAGTCTATGAGACATCTAAGTGAAACATCTAATAAGCAGTTGAATATAATGAATCTAAATTTCTGGGCTAGAAATACAGGTTGGATTGTCCTCAGATGTTATATGAAGTCATATGAGCTTGCTCAAGGAGAGTGAGTAATGGACCTATAATGAAAATATAAGGAATATCAATATTTAATGAAATAGGGAACTACAAAGAACATTGAAGAGGATCCTGAAAAGTAGGTGGAAAACCAATATTGAATGATATCAAAGAATCCAAAGGTGGAGAATTTCAAAAAGGAGGAAGTAGTTGATAGTGCTAGATGATTAAGACAGTGTCCATTGTATTCAGCAGCTAAGTCACTGGTGACCTTGGCAAGAGCAGTTTCAGTGGAATGCAAGAAACAGAAACTATGCCAGTAATAAATGAGGAAGGTAATGCAGACGGTGTGGAATTATCTTTTTGGAAAGTTACCCATGATAGGAAAAAGAAAGTTATAATGGTACCTAGAGAAGAACACAGAGTCATCAACAGAGTTCAGGGTGACTTGGGATCTATTTATGAGGGAAAGAGCAAGTTCAGAGGAAGAGGTTGATAATGCAAGAAAGAAGAAGGATAATTGGTGAAATGGGTTTTTCACCATGAAAATCTGAATTTTCATGAATTCAGAATTTTAGAAAGACAATTGGTGAATATAGATTTTTGAGAAATTCAAAGCCTGTGAGATTTAGAGAATAGATCCAAGGATTATGCTTAGACAAGAGGAGGGAAAACTCTTCCATTGAGAAGAGAAGGGAAAAGATAAGAATTTACCTAGACATGGATAACTTTTATAGAAAAGCTTGGGTTGAGAAGCAGGGAGATGAAATATTTTCTTCAAAATAGTTATTTTGTCTGTGACATGGGAGATGATATTGGCTGAGAGTAAGAGCGTAGGTGACAGAGGTTGGGGCTTGAAAATAAGGATCAGTGTTTGAAATTTCTGCTGTCAAAATGAGAGAAGCTGGCAGGCTTGTCAGTCAGTCTGCAGCCCCAGTGTATTTGGGAGATTATGAACCCAGTGGTATCTACATTGGGCCAAGTACATACGCTCAGAGGGCGGATGTTTGGACTTATAGTTTCATCATATAGATTCAGTTAGCAGATGAGGGAGCAAGGAAGATGAGAGCAAAAATAGACAGTGAGGCTTATGTCAGTTTGGGATAAAAATCAGGAGGGGTTAAGAGATTAAAAGGAAATGAAAGAGAGCAGAAGCCTCAAAGTTGTCGAAGAATAAGGAAAAAATTCAATGAGAGAGTAAAAGGACATGGACATAAACTTCTGACCAGTAGACAGGAAGTTGAGGTTAAGAGCTCAGAAGTGGAACAATTCTGGAAGGTGATAAATTTCAGGGTATAGCCAACATATGGGGATGATGGGAATGGAGTGGTGATGAGAGTCACTGAATTTGAGGGCTGTCATGAAATCACGAGGCATATATATATAACGTTAGATTTACTATAATTAGAGCAGAAGAGTGAGAATATATCCAGAATCCGACCTCATTTCGTAGATGAAGAAATGCGTGTCCAAATGCCCATTTGTTATTATGAAAACCAGGACAAGAATTGAAGTTCTTTGACTCCCAGTTCAGTACGACCTATAATAGACCATATGTTTTAAAACTTGGGTCTATGCATGATCTTCGGGGCTACTGTGAGCCATCAGATTGACACGGGTTTGTGTGCTGTGAACATACAAACAAGTGTTATGTTGGAGATCAGGATTAGGTTCACTTTTGTTACCAGATTCTTAAAAAGATTAGTGACCTCTAAACAGTCAAGCACCTCGGCATCACGGCATGGGTACTGGAATAGAAGACTTGGATTCAGGTTTTGCTACTTTTTCCCTCCCTGTGTATAACCTCCGCTCCACCCCACAGTGGGTGTGAAGATCAAAGTGTCATCTAAAAGGGCTTTGTCAGCCATCTCAACCCCCTATCTTTCTTTCTCCTGTACTCCATTCCACTCCTCTCTCTCTCCCTCTGATTCTTTATGTCTGATATATTTTTTCTTGGACAATATCAACCCCTCTGCAGACAAAAAAAGGCAAGAGCCCTAGAGGTGTTGGATGCACAGTTTAGGGTTAATTGGAGACACTGTGATGAGAAGAAACTAATAGTCTCTGCATTATGTGAAGAGAAACGCTGATAATCAAGTCATCTTGAAAAGGGGTTTACATGCTAATCATGATGCCTATCCTTTTGGATTAATGGGGCTTTGTGGTTTGCTTTAATCTCATTATCTGTGTCCATCTAGATGGCGAGTAAGTGTACTGTATTGGAAGTCATTCTGATCATCTTCATCATAATAATATTGGCCTTCGATATCCTCTTGCTGATTCTCATCTTGCAGAACCCTTCAGGTAAGGGAGATGCTTGTGTCTGCTGGGTTGGAAGGATTGGTAAAGGAAGTCCCCTCTAGACGCCAAAGAGATAATTTTATTCCTTCAAACTTCAACATCCCACCACATTGCGTTATTCAAAATGCACATCTATAACTAATTTAAGGCCATCTCCAAAAGATGTGTTCTTTTTCTGCAACTAAACCTTGAATGTTCATGATATTCAAAGTCTTCTAGGTGCCATTTGATGCAATTTTAACAAGATGCAAAATTAGGCTCACTAGATGCCTATCCTTCAATTCAGAGTCATGAAAGTAATAGAGCCTTCAAGGAGAAAGAACAGTTGAGGTAACAGTGCCCAATCCCATTACATTATGGAAAAGGAAATTAGGTTACAGGGAGTTGAGGGCTGATTGCCTTGGCCTAAATATGTCAATTACAGTTAGCCTCCAGCCGGTATTCTGATTGAAATATCTATGATTTCTTCATAGATAACTTTGAAACTGTTCTCTCTCTCATAGAAGCATCAAACAGAATGCCTTCTCCTCCATGCACACATTATACTCTAAATAATATGTGTAATACAAAAATCTATTCTTAATTAGAACGAATTTGAGGTTTATTCTGCTTGATAAAGCTCATTTTATAAGTCTATAAATGCTTTGTAGGTTAAGCATGTGGTGAAAAGAAATCATACTGACATCAGAGCCCTACCTACTCAATCTCTTTTCACCACTCTCCACAGCAAACATTAAGGCACTTTCTAGAAACAATTATGACTTTGAAAGATGATTTGAAAACCAGTGGTATAAGCTGTGTTTAGTCTATTACTACTTTTCCCCTATAAAAACTTTTTTGGGTAATAAGTCGCATGAGATTACTATCCAGTGTATATGAATAAGTAGTTTCTTTTATTAGCATAAAACTAGATCTTCACACCTGCATTCATCCTAAAACATACTCTTGTTAATGCAGAGTAGTTTCATTTTTAACTGTTTAACATATGGGACTTTTCTCGAGATGTTTTTTGAAGATGTGTTTCCATGAATTGTAAAGGAATTTTTTTATTTAAATTTTTTATTGTACTAGGAACACTTAACACAGGACCCACCCTCTTAACAGATTTTTGAGTGTACCACACAGTGTTGTTATCTATAGGCACAATGTTGTATGTCAGATATATAGAATTTATTCATCTTGCATAATTGAAATTTTATATGTGTTCATTAGCAACACACCAGTTCCCCCTCCCCCCAGCCCCTGGCAATCATCATTCTATTCTCTGCTTCTATGAGATTGACTGTATTAGATACCTCATATAAGTGCAATCATGCAGTATTTGTCCGTGACTGGCTTATTTCCCTTAGGATAATGTCCTCAACGTTCATTCATGTTGTTGCAAATTTTCTTCTTTTTAAGGCTGCATAATATTCCATCATATGTATATACCACATTTTCGTTATCCATTCATCTGTCAAGGGATACTTGGATTGTTTTCACATCTTAGCTATTGTGAATAGTGCTGCAATGAACATGGGAATACTAATATCTCTTTGAGATCTTGATTTCAATTCTTTTGGATAAATACCCAAAAGTGGGATTGCTGGATCATAGAGTAGTTTTATTTTTAATTTTTTGAGGAACTTCCATACTGTTTTCCATAGTGGCTGCACCAATTTGTATCATTCCCACCCCTAGTATACAACAAATCCAACTTTTCCACATACTCACCAATACTTGTTCTCTTTTGTTTCCTTTATAACAGCCATCCTAACAGATGTGAGGTGATATCTCATTGCAGTTTTGATGTGCATTTCCCTGATAATTAGTGATATTGAGCATCTTTTCTTATACCTGTTTTGGCCATTTGTATGTCTTCTTTGGAAAAACGTGTATTTATTTTTTAATCAGGTTATTTGTTTTTTGTTTGTTTTTGCTATTGAGTTGTAGGAGTTCCTTATATATTTTAGAAATTAGTCACTTTTCAGGTATACGATTTGCAAATATTTTCTCCAATTCCTTAGGTTGCCTTTTCATTGTATTGATTGTTAGCTTCGGTGTGCAGAAGCTTTTTAGTTTGATGTAGTCCCACTTGTTTATTTTGACTTTTGTTACCTGTGCTTTTGGTGTCACATCTATGAAATCATTGCCAAGACCAATCTCTTGAAGCATTTCCCCTATATTTTCTTGTAGAAGTTTCACAGTTTCAGGAGTCTTATGTTTAAGTCTTTAACCCAATTTTAAAACAAAATTTCATTTATGTATACACAAATAAGTATAGAGACATAAAGATAGTGGAGATATTTTGAGGTATTTTTTGGATAGAAACAAAGACAGTGAAGGGCACCTATTATACACACAGTAACTGTTGCCTCAAGCTTCAGAGAGAATTCTGGGTTTTGGGTGGCTCATGGAGCCCCCTGAACCAGATCCTACTTCTGATGTTGTTATATTGGGGGGACGTGGTGTCACAAAGGTGATAAAAACTAAAGTAAGAATAGTCAATGTTGAGTGATGGTCTTTATTTCAAATGGGGACAATAATATCTTTCCAGTTTACCTCATAGTTTGTTGAAAGCGAGTGGAAAAAGAGCAAGAAATAAACAAACAAACAAAAACAAATGTGCGGGACAGCTGGATATCTGCATGTAAAAGAATGATGCTGGATCCCTACTTGACATCGTATATGAAAATGAACTCAAAATAGATAAATGATCAAAATATAAGAGCCCAAACTGTAAAACTCTAAGAAGAAAACATAGGCATAAATATTTGTGACCTTAGATTAAACAACAATTTCTTGCATATGACACTCAAAAGGTAGCAAGCAAAGGAAAAATAGGCAAATTGGACTTCAAAATTGAAAAACTTTGGGGGCCAGCCCAGTGGCGCAAGCGATTAGGTGCGCGCGCTCCGCTGCCGCTGCCCGGGGTTCTCCGGTTCGGATCCCAGGCACGCACCGATGCACCGCTTGCTAGGCCAAGCTGTGGTGGCATCCCATGTAGGGTGGAGGAAGATGGGCAAGGATGTTAGCCCAGGACCAGTCTTCCTCAGCAAAAAAGAGGAGGATTGGCATCAGATGTTAGCTCAGGGCTGGTGCTCCTCACAAAAAAGAAAAAAGAAAAATTTTGTGCTTCAAAGGACACTATTAATGAAGTCAAAAGACAGCCCACTGAGTGGAAGAACATATTTGCAAATAACACATCTGATAATGGTCTAGTATCCAGAATACACAATGAAATCTTACAATTCAAAAAGAAAAAGAAAAAGAATCTAATTTTTAAAATGAGCAAAGGGTTTGAACGGACATTTCTTCATTGAAGAGGTACAAATAGCCAATAAGCCATGAAAAGACATTCAATACCATCAGTGATTTGGGAGATGACAATCAAAATGAAATACCCTTCACATACACTAAAATGTCTATAATAAAATACAGACAATCACAAGTGTTGTCAAGGAGGTGGAGAAACTGGAACCCTCATACATTGCTAGTGGGAATGTAAAATGGTACAGCCACTTTGGAAAAGAGTTTGGCAGTTCCTCAAAAAGTTGAAGATAGGAGTTAACCATATTAGTTAGCAATTCCACTTCTAGGTATATAACCAAGAGAATTAAAACATGTTCACACAAAAACTTGTATGTGAACGTTCATAGCAGAATTCTGTATAATAGTCACAAAATGGAAACAACCCGAATGTACATCAACTGATGAATAGATTTAAAAAAGTGTTATATCCATACAATGGAATATGATTCAGCCATAAAGAGGAATGAAGTACTGTTACAAGCTGCAATGCGGATGAACCTTGAAACCATTATGCCAAGTGAAAGAAACCAGACACCAAAGGTCGCATATTTTATGATTTCTGTTATGTGAAACGTTTAGAATAGGCAAATCCATAGAGACAGAAAGTAGATTAGTGTTTACCAGGGACTGGGAGAAGAGGGGAATGGGAAGTGACCACCAACGGGTGTGTGATTTCTTTTTGATGTGATGAAAACGTTCTGAAATTTGATAGTGGTGATTAGTTGTGTAAATTCGTAAAATACGAAAAACCATTGGATGGTACAGTTTACAAGGGTGAATTTTATGGTATATGAAGTATATCTCAATAAAAGCCAACCAAACAAAAAGCAAATGTGTTTAACACTTGGAGAAGTGTTAAACGTCGGTGCAAATGTAGATGCCAACTATTGGTGATGATTGACTGGAGATTGGCTGGAAGTCTCTACCTTTGCCTTCTTCTTTCCTGGAACTGTGATTACACTACAGATTTTCAACTTTGTCCTTTAATTCCTACGCAGATACTTCATTTACTCCAGAGTGCCCGGAGATCCCTGAATCAGAAAGGATAGACTGCGCGCCTGGCCAGGTGGTGACAGAGGTCAGAGAAATGGGCTCCCTGCTGTTGGCCTGCTGGGTTTTATTTAAAATAAATGAGTGTGTGAAGTGGGAAGAGTGTGGTGGTGGAGTGGATTATGGGCCTCCGATTTGTTTGGAGTTATTTCTTCCATGGCTTATTGAAATAAACAGCAACACCAAGGAAGTGAGGGAAGCAGGGGAGGGTAAAGGGAAGAGGAGGAGGAACTAACAAGAGTGTTGGCTCATGGGGTCCAAAGTCCAGAGTGCAGGGAGAGGTCCCAGTGCTGCTAAATGTGTCATGAGTCTGATTCCAAGGATAGCCATGGAAAGGTTAAATGTGGGTTTTTCCTTGAGGATAGAAACCATTAAGCACATAGTGATGACTGAGCCACTTGTAGAGCTCAAGTGACTTGTTATAACAAGGCCTTCTGGAATCATGTTACTGGCAAGAGATCCCAATGAAGATTGGCTAAAGAACATAGACTTTCTCCTTGAGTAGCTTCCATGAGAATATCAACTATTTGAACCCTGCTTAGTTGTGACTTACGACTTTATCTTAAAGGTTGTATATATTTAGATTTTATTATTTTATGCCACGTTCTATATTCTATATCCCTTAATACCCTTTTGGGATATTAATTAGGACTGCATTAAATTTTAGGTTGAATTTAGGCAATACTGACATTTCAATAATTTTGAATCTTCCATTTTAAAAACATAGAATGTCTCATTTCAACTCTTTAAAAAAATTTTTTTATTATTATTTTTTTTTTTTGGTGAGGAAGATTAGTCCTGAGCTAACATCTGTTGCAAATCTTCCTCTTTTTGCTTGAGGAGGATTGTCCCTGAGCTAACATCTGTGCCCATCTTCCTCTATTTTGTATACGAGACACTGCCATAGCATGGCTTGATGAGTGGTGTGTAGGTCCACACCTGGGATCTTGAACCTGCAAACTGCAGGCCGCTGGAGTGGAGCATGCGAACTTAACCACTATGCCACTGGGCTGGCCCCTCAGCTCTTTTTTTGTATATGTATATTTCCCAACTGAGTTTTATGTTTCTCTTAACATACATTTTATTACATATGCATTATGAAGTTTTGTTCTAGATATTTCGTATACGTAGTTTCTATTGTAGATATAATCTATTATATTTTCTAGCAAGTGCTTTTTTTACACAATGCTTCTTTTATTACTAGTGAACATTTTATATTTATTATATTTATATATATTATATTATATTAATTATTCAACTTAAATTTCCTATTGTTTCTAAAATGGTTTTTATAGTTCTTTTCCTTGAGTTATTAAGTATATAATTATATCCTAGGAAAATAATGATACATAAGAATGGAATTTCCAAATCAAAGAATATGTAAATGTTTGTCTTTAGCCGGTATTGCAAAATAGTTTTTCAAAGTATTTGTACCAATTACACTCCCCCTAGCAGTATACAAGAGTTCAGTTGTTCTACACCCTAACCTACTCTTGGTGTTTTCTCCTTTTTAAATATAACTATTTTGTGGTTTTAATTTGTATGTCCCTCATGACAAATAAAGTTAAACACCTTTTCATATACTTATTGGTTAGATGGATAATCATATTTGTGAAGTGTCTTTTCAAAGTTTTTTTTGCCCAGTTTTTTCTATTGGGCTGTTGATATTTTATAGCTTTGTAGCAATTGATTATATATTCTGGATACAAATCTCTTGTTACATATATAAATTTTAAGTATCTTCTTTTTCGGTGGTTTGACTTATAACTCTCTTAATCGTGACTTTTGATGAAAAATGGTTCTTAATTTTAATAAAATCCACTTTATCAATTTTTAATGGTGCATTTTGTATTCTATTTAAAAATTCTTGCCTACTCCAAGGCTAGAAAAATATATTCCTATATTTTCTTCTAAAAGCATTGTTGTTTTATCTTTCAAATTTAGATCTTTAATCAATCTAGAATTGGTTTCTGTGTATGGTATCAGGCAGGAGTCCAAACATTTTTTTCTTGAATTTCTAATAGACCCATCACCACTAACTGAAATAACCATCTTTTTACCTCTGCATTGTAGTGACACCTTTACTGTAAATCATACATCTTTATCTGTGTGGGTCTGTTGCTGGAATCTCTATTTTGTTCCATTGTTAGTATGTCTGTACTTTTGCCAATATCACACTGCCTTAATTACTACAGCTTTACAATAGGTCTTGATATGTGGTTATGTAAGTCCTCCAAATCATTCCTATTTTTCTTCAAGATTGCCTAACCTGTTCTGATCCTTTAGATTTCTGAATAAATTTTAGAATCAGCCTATCAGTTTCCTCACAAAACCTACAGGAAATTTGGTTGTGATCACATAAAATTTACAGATTAATTTTTGGAGACATCATCTTTACAAGAGTGAATATTCTAATCCAAGAACATGATATATCGCCCTATTTTTTGAGATTTTTATTTTTGAAGTTTTAGGTATAGAGATCTTGAAAATATTTTCCAAATTTTTTCTATTTGATGTTTGATTTTACTTATTATTTTTAAATTTTAATTTTTCATTTGGCTGCTATTGGCATATACATTTAAAATTTTTTTTTTTTAAATATTGATCTTGTGACCAGAAATCTTTTGATATTTGCTAATTAATTCTCCCAGTTTGTCTATAAACTCTTTTGGATTTTTCTTATGCAATAATGTTACCTGCTAACATGAACCATTAAAATTTTTTTCCAATATGCTTTCTTTTTTTTCCCTGTCTTGTAACACTCAGAATCCTTTTTCTTTCTAATTTCTAAATATAGTTTGGCATATTTTCTCTAAAAGGCAATATGCAACTATAGTAGTAGTTCTTACTATATAGTAGGAACTTTCTGGAGACTGAATTCAACTAAACATAAAAAATAACTTTGCAGTAAGAATTATGAAAGTGGAATTTCTGATTTTGGAAGAAGTTGGCTACACATTATTCACAGAATTTAAGCATCTATCAGAGACTCTGCTGAAAAGTTGGCTACACAATATTCACAGAATTTAAGCATCTATCAGAGACTTTGCTGAAAAAGTCCTTGCATCAAACGGAAGTTGGATTAGATAATTTCCAAGTCAATTTTCAATTCTCAAGTTCTATTAGTTAATAATTTCTGAGTGGGAAATGACATAAAAATCTATTTGGAAGATAACTGGAGAATATTCTTTAGAAAAATTTGATGTTAAGGAAAGAATAGAGATAAGTAGACTTGTTATGAGTCAACTGCTATAATCCAGGCATGAGTTTATGAGGGTCTATGTTACTATGGTGACAGTGGAAACGGAAAAGAAGAAGGAGATATATATGTCTCAAAGGTTTAACCTTTGATGTCTTGGATGCTGGTAATGACTTAAAACTGCAATGGGGATGTTAGGGCAAACTGCATGCAAAAATATTGTGTTTATCTGAATGTACTGGATTTCTTGTCCTACCGCTTTTTATAGAGGTCTATAGACTTTGGAACAATTTATGACAATGAAACTGACCTTTTGGACTTTACAGACCTCAGTTTCAGAGGTAGCAGAGGTACTTAATGTTTGCTTCAGATTTAGGAAAATCAGTCATCCAGAGGTTACCTAGAACCCCCAACTCTTTCTCCACTCATCCCCTCCAGCCTTTTCTGTCATCCGAAGAGGATGAGGCGGGAATATTAACTATATATTTTGAGAACTAATGAGCGCATTTAAGAAGATTTTATTGTTATAATGTGATTGCTTTGTTTATAATAGGCATGAAACATTGATTTAAGTTATATCCATATTGTGGTTTTTCAGAGCGATTACATCAGATGTTAACATCTAAAATATTTCTCAGTACTATAGTACCTTTTCCAAATGGGTAGTTTTGTGACGTGTTATTTCTTTTTAGTAACAAAATCTATACTGAGTACATTCGTTTAATAAGAGTGATTCAGACATTATAGTTATGTACAGAATAAAGTGGGAAAGTCCCTATTCATAATGCTTCCTCTCTATTTCCAAATCCGCTTCCCAGAGTCAAGTCAATAGCTTTATGCGTATCCTTCTCTTAATCTTTCTATTCTTTTGTATATATTTGTATATATTGCACATATTTATATATTTTTTGCTTTGTTTTAATGCAAATTTGATTATACTATTTATTATTTTATATCTTGATTTTTAAATTTAAGGCATTTAAATTTACCACATTATTACATTTTAAAAATACTTTGTTTATGTTGAGATGATCATAAGACTTTCTTTTGTCAATGTTGTGAATTATATTAAAAGATTTCTTAATTTTGAACTATTTTACCTTTTGCTTGATAACCCTTACTTGGCTATTATGCATTAATTCTTTTAATACACTAATGAATTTAAATTGCTAACATTTTACTAAAATTTTACACATCTATTTTTTTTCTTGGTGAGGAAGATTAGCCCTGAGCTAACATCCATTGCCAATCCTCCCCCTTTTGCTGAGGAAGATGGGCTCTGGGCTAACATCCATGCCCATCTTGCTCTACTTTATATGTGGGACACCTGCCACAGCATGTCTTGATGAGCCATGCATAGGTCCACGCCCAGGATCTGAACCCATGGACCCCAGGCCACCGAAGTGGAGCGTGTGAACTTAGCTACTATGCCACTAGGCCGGCCCCACACATCTATGTTTTTTAAGTGAAATTGGCTTATATATTTTTGTTTGGTTGTTTTCTGGACTTTCCTTGTCCAGTTTTTTGCCAGAATTATTCCAGTTTAATAAAATGAATCAGAAAACTTTCCATCTTTTTCTATGTTCTGAAAAAAAAATATATATGAAATGAGAATATTCTATTCTCCAAATCATCTGGGAAAGGTATAATTTTTTTAGGGAAAAGTCTTTGACTACTTCTTATAATTTCCCATGGCCACTGGTCATTTCAGGTTTTCTCTCTCTTCTTATCTAATTTTGATTATTTAATATTTTACTATTTAAAGATTCAAATTACAGTTTCACATTCATTGGCAAATATTTGTATAGTTTTCTCATAATTCTTATTTATGTCAAAAAATCCTATATATCTGTTGTCATTCTCCATTTTTGTTTCTAATCTTGTTTCCCTCCTTTTCTGTCAAAATAGGACTTATAAGGTATTCATATTTCTTTGATCTTTTCAAAGAGTCTCCTTTAGATTTCATGATCTGCCAAACTAATAACAAAACATATCCTCCCACTATAGTAATTATCAGCGTGGAATCATAGCAGCAATTGATACACACGCCATTGGAATTTAATGGGAAGTCCCAAAACATGTGTTCATATTCTCAGATGTGCACTTAAATTTAGTTTAAAATAAAAATGGCATTTCAAATCAGTAGTGGAAACAAGGTCTGTTTAATTACTGGTGGTGTCTGCCTCACTTGCTGACAGCACTATGTCAATGTGGACTTAGGTGAATACATGGAACACAGTAGGCACTCATTTCACATTTTGAATTGATGACTGTAGATATTTGCTTCTTTTCTCTTTCATTAATTGTTGCTTTTACTCTTCCTAAATTTTCATGTAGTTTTTGTGGGTTTATTTTGTCCTTTTGTAGTTTCTTGGGTTGTACATTGAGTTTTTCATTATAGATAACATCACTTTCTCTCTTTCTTGATCTCCCCTTCCCTCACCCATGTTCTCTTTCACTCCTGTTGGAATCTTCTACTTGAGTGTTGTTGTCTGAGTCCATTGGTCACTTTACTTACTCTTCCTCTCATATTTTCCCTTGCTTTATCTTTGTGCATCATGTTCTGGGATAATCCTAAACTTGATTTAAAAGCAATTTTTTTTGTCTTGACACTTTTCTCTTTCACTGTTTCCTTTTTGTTATTTGGTCCAAATATTAAGGAGTTTTAAATCTTGTTGTTCAATACCTTAACTTTCCCATTGTTTTTTAAATGGAAGCAACATCTGTGTACCTCTCTCTAAAGATAATAATTATATTTATTTTGAAGACTTGTAGTATTTTTCCTATTAATTTTTCCCTCTAATTCGTTTCTTCCGTTTATTAAGTTTGATGCATTTCTATCATGGTGTTGGTTTCTCTCAAATGTTTGGTGGTTCTTGATTGTAATTATCTATGACTGCTGGTCCTATTTACCTTGGTTCACACTGAGTATTTAGGAGGGGAGGGAAGGACTGATGGAGAGAATATGGGGACTGTTTGGGGGTGGTGGGTGGTTTATCAGCTGGTGCATTGCATGCCTTCTGGCTCCCAGCATCTCTCCTCACCCCCTTAGTCCATGAACATATACTTTGGGATGCCTACCAGTTAGCAAGAGCTTACCGACAGCTGTAAGGAATGTCAGATTGGGCAGCTTAATGTTTATACTAAAGCTTCCCAATTAATCATCCAAAACTATGCCCCAGGTTCTCTTCCACTTCTCAGCACTGACTCGGCTTGGAGCAATTTTTTCCCTCCTCTTGTGTCTTACACTATGAACATATTTTTCCCTAGTGTTTGATAAAGTCAATTTTCTATGTTTCAGGAATTTCATAACATTTCTGGTCTGCCATATTGCATTATATTTAGCTGTTTTATCATGGATTTGTAATTTTTTCCTTAGTGACGCTTCTGTCACTTCATGTAAATTTAGTTGGGTAGAAAGGTGGAAGCCTGTGTTTATTTCAACATTTTGATTCAATTTGCCACCTATTTTATTCATTATAACAAAATAATTTTTTTATATCAGTTAATCTGAAAATTGTAGGACCTTTAGAAAACACATCTCAACAAATAAAAATAATTTTGTAAATCTATAATCAAACCACTCTGAGAAAACACCTGTGGTTTATTTTAAAAACCTTGTGGACACTGTGAATTTTTTTATGTCACTGTCTGTCTTAGTTCTATCTTAATTTTATCTATTTTCCTTTGCTTTACTTTCCTTACTTTTTAGAAATGCATTTCTTCATGCTGTATTGGTAGCCATTTCCATGACTCTTCCTTATGAGAAAGTCACAACTGCTTGGTCTGGCACCCAGCTCACTCATAGTGTGGATATTGTGTGCCTCCAGCCTCATTTCTTTTACTCAGTGTTCTTGGCACAAGGAACTTGTGATTTTTCTGAGTCTATCATGCTTGCTGCTTTCTCAGCTTGAAATACTGCTCTGCTGTTCACCTGTCTAACCCCTCCTGGTGCTTTAGGACTGGGCTTACCTTTCACCTACCTGGAAGCCCTCCCTACGCCACTTGCAGCCTTCTAGGCTGGGGATGTGTGTTCCCTTTGCCCCTGGGCACACTCTATTGGAGAACTCATTTCATCATACTGTAATTGTCTGTATTTGCTACTAGACTATAAGTTTGCTGAAGGCAACAACTGTGTCTTATTTATCTGTATTATTAGTTACTTGTCTGGTAAGTAATAAATGCATATTGGATGGCTGGACAAATGTATAAATAAAAGAAGAATAAATAAATGAGTGAATGTACTTATGACGTATCTTAAATTCTTCTTGGGATAAAATTGTTTATAGATAAATAGACAAATAATACTTTCCTTCCTTCATTTCCTATAATGCTAACTCCGCCATTGTTACAGGCTGTCTGCAAGTGGCAACATAAATGCTGTTGGAATCCTGGGCCAGATACTGATGTCCCTTCATGCTTCTTCCCCAGGAACTGGGGCTATGAAGTCAACAATGGCTATAAAAATACAACCACAGGTGAGCACTGGCCTAATGTTGCCCCAGGGAACAATTCTTTATGGCTCAGATAAGTTAACTGCAAAATAAAGGCTGTAAGCTTTTTTCTCTCTCTCTTTCTCCTCCACCCACCCCTAGGGTTTACTGCCCAGTTGAAAAGGTTGTCATCCCCATCTCTGTTTGGATATGATGTCGACGACACCCTCTTCACAGCTGAATATCAGACATCCAATCGTTTTCATTTTAAGGTTGGTTTCGTAGTTATCATTGAATATATCTCTGAAGAAATCAGTGCCCCTACACTGGGTTCGGATCATTCTCCTGTATGCACTGCATAGAGATGTGGAGGCAGAGATGCCGCTGTTCCTCTCTGCAGGAATCTTCTGATGGGATGGGAAGGCTAATTTTTATTTGATGGGGGATACATGATTGGATGATTTCTTCTCACAAATCAGGAAACACAGGGTCAAGACATAGAAGATACTCTCATTGGGGGCTGTTTGAGAGTGAAAACCTTTTGTTGCTCTACAAGAAAGTGTCTTATCTGCAGTTGTCCCTTCTGTTTTTCTTCTGACAGATCACTGATTTCAATAACATACGCTATGAAGTCCCGCATGAAAATATTAAGCTGTTTAATGGGACTGCTAGCACCTCCAATTTGAGCTATCGCATAGAGGTCATTGATAAACCCTTCAGCATCAAAATAATGAGGACGAGCAATGGAAGAGTCTTGTGAGCTTTTCAGTACTATTTGTATTTCTGAATATACAGTGCCAATGACATTTATTCTGACTTACTGTGGGTGGGCGATGAGATAAGTATGACTTGGGAAAACGTTTGAACCTCAGAAAAATGTCAAAGCTATTACTGTAAATCATTAACAACATTAATCTGTCGTGATTGCAGAGCAAAGAATACTAAAATGTCATGTGCTAGTTTGCTAAGTTATATAAATACACTTATTGTTCATGGATATTACGAAATACAGAATTTTGTTATTTTGAATTATCATTCACACAGAACTCAACTTCACTGTTTGTCATTCCAAATTATTGTTTCCTGAGAAATCTATTATCAAGCACCTAACAACCACTGGAGCTTAAACCATAAATTGTACTGGAGAAAATAAAGGGATTAATGTCAGTAAAACCCGTATTCAGATCCTGGCACCAGCAAATCACCAGGCAGCTGTGTCATATTGGGCACAGTACCTCGCCTCATCAGCCTCAGAGACCTTGCCCATAGGAAGGGAATCAAAATATCCACTGTTGCTACATGTACTGAGATGACATTTATAAAGTACCCAGAGTAGTGCTCGGCATGAAGTAGACGCACAGCAAATGCAAGGCTGCATTACTCTCTTCCCCCAGTCATCCAACGCAAGTTTCTGGTATCACATCTCCAGTGCTATGCTCCTCTAGAAATAAAGAACCAGGGACACCCTAGGAAGGCCTTCAAAGGTAGCATGAAAGTGGATGATAACACCTGAAACGACTCTTCTCAAAGTGTACAGGGAAAGGAGCAGTTTCCTGGCAGAGGGAGCTGTTGGATGACTCTCGCTCTTCCTCCATGCCCAGGTTGGACACTAGCATCGGGCCCCTCCAGTTCGCCCAGCAGTACCTGCAGCTGTCTCTCCGACTGCCCAGCGCCAACGTGTATGGGCTCGGGGAACACGTGCACCAGCAGTACCGCCACAACATGACCTGGAAGACCTGGCCCATCTTCACCCGGGACGCCACCCCCACTGAGGTGAGGTGCCCTTCCTCCTGCGTATTGCTCACAGTGGGGAATATCTTCCCTCCTTTCCAGAAAGTAACCTACAGAGTTATATCTATATATTATTTTGCCCAATGTAGATCTGTTTGAGTTGGAGAATATGTACTTGTTCTTGAGGTTTATAAACTTACAATTAGTAATATATTGATCTTTAAAAACATCTCCCTTTTAAAAGAAATTTAAATTTATAATTTAATGACTATATTTTAGCCTAATATATATTATAAAATACTTCTGCAAAATAACTATATCTGTCTTTAATAACTGAGTAGTTATCTAGGGGAGAGCTTCACCAGGAGCCGTTCTCAGTAGAACTTTGTAGATAAAAAAATGCCTCTTTTCGCAGCTTCAATATTGTTCTAGGTCTCTGCTAATTGAAGTACCTTCCAGAAAGAGCAGAGTTGGCATCACCTGGGAGGTTGTTAGAAATGCAGAATTTCAGGCCGTGGCACAGGCCTACTGAATCAGAGTCTGCATTTTAACAAGATCCACAAATGAATCACCTGCATGTTAAAGTGGGAGAAGAGTTTATCTGTAGTAAAAGATTAGTTTCTTTTTCTTTCTTTCTCTTTGCTTGTTTCTTTCTTTCTCTCTGCTTGTTTCTTTCTTTCTCTCTCTCTCTCACCCCCCCTTCTTTCTCTTTCTTTCAGTCCAGCATGGGCAGTAATTTTGTAAAATATAATTAAAATATATTACTGAGAAAATGAAAGAAAAATACTCAAAGACATACAAAATACAAGTCTGAATTTTAGATTGAACAGGCATAAAATTACTCTTTTAAATTACTATAAAAGAGTTTCTAAACTCTTTCTCTTGATTTTTGTACTTACCTTGTTGCTAACTTAAAGCAAAAAGTTTGGGGGAGGTACCAGTCCATGGACAACACGTAGCATGGCTTTGTAGAGCATGTCCTGAAGCCTCCCTCATGCTGATGATGTTTCTTAGATCTGTGCCAGAGTTGCAGGTTGACGTACGTTGCAAAGGAACTGAAATTTTGCATTCATATTCCACAGGAGAAGAAAAAAGCAAGTAGCACATTAACTGGCTCACCCATCAGTATCTGATGCAGTGAAGGGAGCACACTTATTGAACCAAACAAAACAAAGAACAATGGCCAGCACAATCTCTAAAATGCTTCGTCAAGGACCCTGGCAAACGTGGAATGCTAAGCATCATACTAAGCTTAGCTTTCCACAGCTGAAATTCTTGAGTTATATAGTTACAGATTAGATTCAAGTTTTTTCTTTTCTTTTCTTTTCCTTTCTTTCTTTTCTTTCTCTCCCTACCTCCACTTTCTTCTTTCTTTTCAATATTTTTAATTTAGTCTGTATTCTATCCAAGTGTTGATGCCATGAGTCTTCCTGGCTATAATTTTAAATCTAGCTTATTTTGCATAGGCCTGCTTGTCTTCTCTAATTTATATCATGCTGCAAAGTAACATATCTCTTTTTGCTCCTTTCCTGGAGTTTATCATTATCAGTACTTTTGCCCTACGCTAGGGTCTAAGTTTGCAACATCACTCAGGGAGCTTTACTGGAAATTTCATATAAATGTAATCATGCAATATATATATATATATATATATATCTTTTTTGTGCCTATTTCTTTCACTTAGCATAACATTTATGAGGTTTAGTCATGTTACAGCGTGTTTCAATATCCCATTTCTTATTACTACTAATAGTATTCCGTTGTATGGATGTACAATATTTTGTTGATCCATTTACCAGTTGATGTTACCATTTCAATACCTTTTTGGTACAATACTAAACTATGTCAAGTGTTGACCAAGTACATGTTGTGCATGGTTTTTGATTTTGTTTTAGGGTGAATAAAAACATGTTCAACATAAACGGCAATTATTTCTTTTCGTTTTTTTGGCAGGGCATGATTAATCTATATGGAGCTCATACATTCTTCTTGTGCCTTGAAGACACCAGCGGCTCCTCTTTCGGGGTTTTTCTGTTGAACAGTAATGCTATGGGTAGGAAGCATCTTTTTATCTTTTCAGGAATAAGTTTTGGGACGCTGCTTCTATAAAAATGACTTTCATGGTGAGATCACTGTTTAACAGAAGGCATATTGGACCTAGAATGCTTCTGTAGAAACTGGAACCCGAAAATAGGTTAACCTGTCTACAAATCCAGTTCATACTGAAAGCTATTTTCATTGAAAACTGCTTCAGCGTTCTCTTTTGATGTAATGTTTCCCAGAATATTCTGTAGATAGAATCAATTGATAGACACGTTTCAAAGATAGCTGTAGATTTCAACATGTAAACCATGCTGTCCATCTCTAGACAACAAGCTGTGTTTTGTAGACTGTTGGTCATAGCCCATCCCTTCCCATCCCTCTAGAATCTTCCTTCTCCAGCTTCTGGACTAATGATGCTCTAATGAGAGTTTATTTTTATTCTTTGTTGTCATTAAACTCATCTATTAAGGTTTTAAAAACTTTTACTTTAGGTTAAATCACTTGCAAATCCCAGATGTTTGTATTTTTATATGGCCAGATTAAAGTAGAATTTTTTCTTGCTCTTAAAAAAATCAATTCTTCATTGGTGTTTTGCTCATTTAATATTTTGATTAACTTCAGCAATTATCTGAAAAAAGGACATGTGTGATTTTCATCTCTTTCAAATGAGCCTGAGGCTGTTTTGGATACCTCAGAAGAGTATATTTCAGCTATAAAATTCTAACTCTAGTTTTAATCCTTTCAGAGGTCACCCTTCAGCCCGCTCCTGCAATCACTTACCGCACCATCGGGGGCATTCTTGACTTTTATGTGTTCCTGGGAGACACTCCAGAACAAGTGGTTCAGGAATACCTGGAGGTATGGCTTTGCGTTTAGGTAGTTATTATTTATAGCTATTATCTCATACACTCATTATAAATTAACAAGAGAAAAATAAAACTTATGCGTAAACTATGGATTATAAATGCTGGGGTTGAGGGTCTTTCATTCATGTTTATTCATGTATGTTTATTTTGATGCACATTTATTGGGTGCCTTCTGCATGCTAAAGAGGCACAAGGCTTGAGAAATGCAAAAATAAGTCAGTTACCTGCTGGTACTCATAGTCCATCCATGTGTGATCACTCATTCCAAAGATCCAAGGCCACAAATCAGCAAAGTTTATTCGTTTATTCAATAAGTAGAAATTTAGTGAAAAGAAACCATGTAAAAGGAATTGTGCTATTTATTTTTGATTCAAACTGTAGGACAGGAAGGAACTTAAGACATCATTTAGCCTAAACTTCCTACTTTACAGATGAAAAAACTCAGGTACAGAAAGATGAAGTGATTCATTCAAGATGAACATAAAGACATATGAACTATAATCCCAGATGCCAGTGGATTTATAATCAATCAGGAGAAATATGACACAGCCTGAAATAATTGTATTAGGAAACGCCATATAATAAATGTCATTAATGAGGTGCAAATAAACTGTATGGGGATTCAGAGGCATGAGAGAAGGCACCGTGCTGAGGGGACTCACATATTGGAGAGCAGGTGCTCTTAGGGAACAATGTGAGGCAGGGCTCTCTCTGGGTAATCTTCTCAGAATGTTGGCTTGAGCAATTGTAGACTTGGGTTTTAAACACAGTCCAGTATTTTTTCACCCATCCCACTCTTAATCTTATTGGTCCTTATTCCTTAATCCTTAACACATACCACTATCTGAGGTTATATTAGACATTTTTTTATTGTCTTTATGCTCTATAAGAGGAAAAACTTCTGTTTGCTTTATGCCACTATATCCCAAGTGGCCACATCAGCCCTTGCCACAACATAAACACTCAGAAAATATTTATTGACTGAAGGAATGTTACTTCTTTCCCCCTCAAATGACATTATTCAAGAATTTTCTGCAAATCATTCTTTTCTGATGTTGCAGTTGTCTAGAATACATTTAGGTACTTAGTAAAGAAAGATGTGAGTTGTAGAATTTTGCAAATTACCCTGGGAGATTACTCCTGGCTCTGACATTTTTAGATCTGGGGACTTTATGGAAAATGAAACAGAGACAGTGTTTTCTGTGTCAGACATAGTGCTACAAACAATGTTTATTTTAAATTCTTAGACACTTCTTTATTTTTTCAGCTTGTTGGACGACCATTCTTGCCTTCCTACTGGAGTCTTGGGTTCCAGCTGAGTCGCAGGAATTATGGCGGCATCGAGGGATTGGTAGAGGTTGTAGATCGAAATCGTGCAGCTGGGATCCCATACGTAAGCTGGAACTTCTCTTATCACCCATAAGGCACCATTTCCTATCTTTTATTTTTTGCATTTAATTCAATTCATTAGGAAAAAATAAAGATATATTGATAGGTGGATGGCTACATAGATAGATATACCTACTGTCAGAAATTTACATGCTAAATTACCTATCTCATGAGGGAAAGAGCACAGTTTATGATCAGATGGATATGGTTTTGAATTTTAGATTTACCTCTTCCTAGCTCTATCAATGTTGGGCTGCTTAATTAATATCTCTGTGTCTTAGTTTCCTCCTTTATAAAATGAGAATGTAAAACTAAGTCTGGTGGGCTGGTAGTGAGGAATGCCTTATATTATGCATTTAAAGCATGTAGCACAGAGGATGAATGCTGTCAAAGTTAGCTGTTATTTTATAAAAGAAAGCAGCACCTGGGATGACTTGGTTAATGAGGGCTGATGATTATAATTATGACTTACAGGAAGCGACTTTCTCGTAGTGACCTTGTATACTCCTTCCAGAACTAGCGGACTAATTTTGAAAGCTCTATGGTTACAAAGTATTTATGATGTTCAATATCCACTAGTAAATAAAAAGATAATTATTAACTGTACAATGTTTGATAAGTCCTTCCAGAGATGCATAACTTGTGGTTAATGAAGTTATAAAAACTGTGTATTTTGGGATAGATCTTTGGAACTGAGGTACAAGCACGTATTTGGTGAGCACTGGAAGGAAGATTGTGCAGATGGAAATGACTTTGGCTTGATCTCAGGATTTTTCAACCCCTCTTAGAGTAGCAATGAGGACAGGCAGGGAGGTGAACTCTTCCTGTGAGAAAACATGCCCACTGTGTTGTTTTGGTGTCATGGGGAATCAATTACGTGTTTCATTTTACTTCTCCCTTATCTGCCATCTGCAGACATCCAATTCTAGGAGGAATCAGGCCAAATCTTGCCATACCTTTATTGTTTTACAAAGTGCTTTTACATTCATGGTTAACTCACACTTATTGGTATTTTGTAAGTGAGGAAATGGAGACACTGCACAGTTAATAACTTTTCTAAAGTCACTGCAGCTAGCTAAGTAGCTGGACCAGGTTTCAAAAGTAGCTCTTTTGACTTCATGTGGTTTTGGTTTCAGTCTATCCCCACGCCTCTGATGGGAAGGGCTTTTTTGAGGTGTTGCTGATTCAGCAACAAATGAGCTTTTCTTCCATTGATGGGATCTTTCTTGCCATGTGGCTGTGGAGGACATGTGGGTCCTAAATGACTGCCCAGTGTTAGAACAGATGATGTTGCATTGGCAACAGGCCACAAGTCGCATTATCCTTCAGGTCTGTAAGCTAGAGTCTTCTAATGCATGGCTACATGGGGAACACTTACGTAGAAGATTTTCATTTATCTTTGAGCTATGTGGCATGTTGGGAAAAAAAGAGCATCTGGAGTCAAAGGGCCTATCACCAAAGCCCCAGTCAAGGCCCACTCGCCCATGCACATGACCTAGGTATTTGTCACAACCCCTTCACGTTTCAATCTTCTCACTAAGAGCAACACCTGCTCCTCACAGGTTGGTGTGCAAACACAAAAATAATGTATGTATGAGAGTTTGGTTAACTAAAGCTCTATCCCTTTCTCATTTATCTTTGTTAATTATTACTCCAGCAGTTTTATAGGGCAAGAAGACCGTTTTCTTCTCTTATGATATATTCTAGCTTGAAGTTTAGAGTCCAAGTTAGTTCATGATTATAACATTATTAATATACTCATTCAAATAAATATTTAAAGAGCACATGTTTTATATCAAGTGTCCAAGCTCTCAAGTTAACAGGGATGAACAAGACACAGTCCCTATCCTCAAGCTCCTCCTGATACCTTGTGACATGCAACTGTCAGGATGAAGAGATAAAACTGCATCCTAAGAGCACTACATCTTTCAGAAAGGGCTTATTTACTCCTAGGAGATAGCCAAGTCCTGGAAGTTCCAGGATCATTAAGAAACATAGCTTCAGCTTTAATGATTAAGAACTAGAGCTATAATACTTTCCATCAGCATGGTGATATTTCCTAGGTTCTAACTGGCCAGCACTATCTTTCAGGATGTCCAGTATTCTGACATAGACTACATGGATGGAAATAAGGATTTCACTGTTGATGAAGAGGTTTTCCCTGGTCTCTCAAATTTTACCAAGGAGTTACATAGCTATGGAATGAAATATGTAATTATTATGGTACGTTCAAACACTTAATTCTCTTGCCTAGTTTTTCCTTTCAAAGTGCAAAAGAAATTTATAAAATTCGTATTTATTATTGTGTTTATTTATTAGAATCCTGGCATCTCAAATGATTCTGACTACCAGCCCTATGTGAATGGAAGAAAAAAGAGAGTATGGATCTTGGGGAACAATGGCGCTGTCATTGGGCAGGTAATTTCTCAAGAAAATCAGAGTAAATTACATTTTGGGAAGTTTATACTTCTGGTATGAAGATGAGTGGAAGGCAAATTATAGTATCATTACTGTTTTCATGGCTTTAGAGGTTTCTTTTATTATTATTTTCAAACCAGTAGATGTAATAGCAGAAAGATTAAAATTCTGAAGGATTTATTTCTTAATTGAAATATATTTGACATATAACGTTGTGTAAATTTAAGATGTGCAACATGCTGATTTGATATATTTATATGTTGCAATATGATTGCATTGTAGCAATAGTTATCACCTCTATCATGTCACATAATTATCATTTTTTTTTTTGTGATGGGAATAATTAAGATCTAGTCTCTAAAATGCTGTCCCCGTCCCTTTAATACTACGCATAATTGAGAAGCAATATATTCATAGAAGAAAATTCATTTATTCTTAAAGTCCTATCGCCTCCCAATTTCTTTCTCTTTCTCAAGACAATAAATTCAACTATGATAATACAGCAAGATGCTCATAGGCTACTTTTAAACCTATCTCAGCTAATATATGTTTAATTTACATGAGACTTATAGATAGAGCCTAGTCTTTATTCTAAGGTAGCAATTTCAGGCATTGGAGTAGGCTGCTCAGAAACCTATTTTTAGGGCAGCTGAGCGTTTTAGAGTATTTTCAGTCAAATCACCAAGTCAACCTTCTATTCCAGTTATGCATAGAGTCAGCCCTACATGATTGGATTATGTGAAATTTACTGAAACCAGTACTTAATCTGAAAGTTCCTATGGCTGCAATTCTTGTTGTTCTTGGGCAGTTTACTCTGTAAAACTGTCTTTTCAGTGTTATCAATGCCCCCTTACCTAAGTGCTCACTTAATTCCTGTCATTGACTTTATTATGATACTTAATTCTATTTACTTTCTTTTTCATTGAGTCTAACTTTTCATGAAACAGTTGAGAAGTTTCCTTCTTTCTACAAACCAATTCTTTGCTTTTACTGTTTTGTTTGAAGTGAACTTCTAAAATATCAGATAGACTGATATTCATATATAAGTACAAAATTAGAGACCATGGTCACATAAAAATTATTTTGGTTATATAAAAGTAGATTATCTAAACCTGTGACTCATTTCCGTAGCACTCATATTTGAGTGGCATAGAACTAGGAATTTGCATATAATTACAAGAATTTAATTAAATGGTTCCCTTCATTGACCAATAAATAACATGAGTGATTTGATTTAAGATGTTGGCAGAGGTAGTAGTAGTGGAGGCAGGTGAGGGTTTATTGTAAAGGTATTTGGTTA